CCCAAAACCCCAAAACCCCAAAACCCCAAAACCCCAAAACCCCTCCAAAAAGATGAAAAATTGAAAATCTGATTAAATCTGAGTTAGTTATTTTCTCTTCGCTCTTCCAGCTGCTGTGACCTTTTTCCCTCTCTTCGCTTGAGCATTTGTCTTAGTCTTCTTCCCTTTAGAGGACTTCTTTACCTCCTTAGTTTTCTGTATGGCCTTCTTCATATCTTTATTAGTCTTCTCTGCTGACTTGGCCCTGATTGATCCCTTCCTTGCTCTTGTTACTGGTTTAGTTTTTGATACTTTCTTAGGAGTATCCTTTTTAGCAGGTGTCTTCTTTATCTTTTGAGTGGATTTCTTGTTCCCTTTATTGGTCTTTTCAGCTCCTTTACTTGGAGTCTGCTTCCTTGGAGTAGACTTCCTTGCAGGGGTCTTCTTTGTAGTTGATCTCTGTGAAGTTCTCTTCTTCAGTTCCTTCTTTGGGGTTACAGAATCCTTTTTCTTGGCGGGAGTCTTTTTCTTTGAAGGTGACTTTTTCTTGACTGATGCCTTTTTCTTCTGAGGAGTCTTTTTCTTAATCGGGGTCTTCTTGACAGGGGTTTTCTTAACTGATGGTTTCTTTGAAGGGGTTTCATCCTTTGCAGGGCTCTTTGATTGCTCATTCTTATTCTCATTGAGCTTCTTTATTATATCAGCTGCTCCAGTGATTTTCTTACCTCTCAGTAATTTCTTTGGCTTGAGTGCTTGTCCAGATGTTTTAACAAATGATTTCTTTTTCTGAAATTCCTTGGGATTTGCTAATTTAAATGAATTTTTAACCTGGACTAAGTGGCCATCTTTGACCATCTTCTTAAGTTGCACTTTTAGCCTCTTTTCATTAACACTTTCTCCATGGATACTTTTGGAATACTTGAAGATGGCAATAGAGGATGATCCTGTTTTATCATGTAAGGCAAGGATGGCCTCTCCAATTATCTCCTTGTATTTTGGTAGTTTGGACATATTTCTGTAATTACCTATGTAATTAAATTTATATTAAGAGTTCCAATTATTGTCAAAGATATAGGGGTTTTGGGGTTTTGGGGTTTTGGGG